AATGTATCACCTCCACATAAAAAAAATCACAAGAGATAATCATATACTGTAGTACAGTTCCCTACTGTAGCCACACAACTGTGGCAACCGTTTCGACGCCCACCTGCTGAGGGTCAACAGCGAGAGAGAGAGAGAACCAGACAGACTGACACGCGGAAAGGAAAGAGAGGAAAGGACTAAGGGACACGGAACTTGGGCGCGTCTGTTATGCGCGGCAACTCCCATGTCCATTGACACAGTGCACGTGCCGCGTTTCAACCTTGCTCGGCTTGACCTCGCGCAACACACATGAAACTAATATGCGCCATCAAGAAGATAATAACATTTAAAGAAAGAAAGAAGATATAAACCTTTTGGCCACTCGCCACTTGCTCCTCTCCGGGAATGCGCAGAGGTGGGGTGGGGGGGAGGGGGAGGGGAAGGGGGGATTCTTGAGTGAAAAATGTGGAGGAAAGGTGTGGAGGGGGTGGGGGTTTTTTTGGGGGAAAAGGTGAAGTCGCTCAAAGTAGGAAAGCCGGTCATCTCTCTCTCTCTCTCTCTCTCTCTCTCTCTCTCTCTCTGTTTCTGTCTCTCCCTCTGTCTCTCAGCATCATCTGCTAGGGTGTGGATGTACTGTACATAAATGTGTGTATGTGCATCATAATGTTATGCTGCTGGTTGTACAAGTACAGTAGTATATAAATAAATAAATAAATAAATATATATATATATACAGTATATATATATATATATATATACATGGAACAGCATCATCTCCTGATGTGTGTGTGTGTGTGATGGGCAAATGCAGCAGCAAACATCCCTAAAATCCTTCAGCACAATTCCTGAGTTCATTCTGAAAATTTTGACTCCTAACACTGCATATGTTTTGGGCTCTGAAATAATGAGGACTTTACTGCTGCACAATATATTACTGTAGCATCATTATATGTGCATTTGAATAAACTGTTGTATTCTAAATATAGGGCATTATTGGGTTGGTTCATAAGTTCTGTCACTCTTGAGTTTATATTACATTGATTGAGAGACCTTCTGATGAATGCATGAAATGAGGACACAGGTGTTTAATTTCTAATCACACACACACACACACACACACACTTGATCATTTTTTGACCACTGTTACAATTTTCAGACTGTACCACATTTGTTTCCCAAGGTAGACAGCAAAGGTAATATTATTCTGTGAAACAGGACAGTTATAATCACATGTTGGCAAATAATGTGAAGTTACTTATAATTGGGACAAGTGTAATTATAACTGTTCATTTGCAAGCAAATCAACAGTTATTTCAAATATATCACAAACTGAAGCATCTTCTTTTGCACAATAGTTCAAATTTGACAGCCATATATTGCACACAAAAACAAGCTGAATCCCTGAATGAGGATAAGCATTTTAATTTTTTTTCCTATATAGAAAGTATAGTATACTTGATTATTTTCTGACCTCAGTTGCAATTTCTGACTACAGTATACTGTACCCAGTCCTGACATATTCAGAAGGATGAAAGAGCACATCCATTCACTGAGAGGAAACAATGCTTCACTGCAAACCCCCCCCCCCCCACCACCCCCCCNCCCCCCCCCCAAATATGCTGAACTTTTAATATTAATCTTAAAAACAGGACAGTTTTCATGACACACTGGCAAGTAATTTGAAGTTACTGTACTCACAAGTGGGATATAAGCCTCATATAGTTCATTTGCAAGCAATTCAACAGGGATTCCAAAGATTTCATAAATTGAATCATCTTCTTGGGCACAATATTTCAGATCTGACAGCCTTTATATTCCAAGAAAATGAATATTGTCTGATTTAGTCAAATTTTTGGTTTTAGATTTATGCTGATTGAATGTAGTTTCAATTGTAATTGACCAAATCCCTTGGCAAAATAAAAAGAAGATATAGACTTCAGTCTATGTATTAATGAATCCAACAGTGGTTTTGAGGATCATGACTCAAAAACATGGGGTGTCAAAATAATTTTAATTTCAAGTCTTGGGATTTATATGAGTTCCTGTGGCAACACTGGGTAGAATTTTCCTGGTTATCACTTTATACACCAGGGATATTCAGCACTTGAAACAGGCACACTCTTCATTTTAAGAAAATTTTCAAGATCTGCTCTCAATAGGAAATCTTTCGCGACACTGAGGTAAAAAAAAAAGTTGCCACAGGGTTATTTTTTATTTTTTCTCGCAAAAAAAGAAGAAAAAAAAAAACTGGTACAGCCAAAAGAAAAGCAGGTTCTCAAGGATATATGAGGCTTCTTCCCTCGTATATTCGAAAAGTTGTTCTGGGTAAAACACGATTTTTGCCTATACACATGTGGCACAGTTCTGTGCAGATATTTATTTGGAACTAGATGGCGCTCCCAACCCCATGGAAGGAAAACTGCAAAAATGGCAGCACATATACTGTATTTTTGCAAAGAAATATCAGAGACAAATTTTGCTTGCTTTCCCTTTATACTTGTCAACACTCTGAGATACATATTTTTTTTTGGTAGCTTGTCCTAGTTCCAAGTGGCTTTACATGACTTGCCAACACTAAAATAAAATGATCTTGTTTATGGTCACATTTATTGTCCCAGTTACAAGTGGCTAATTTAAATAAGGGCTTCCCATCAGTCAGTCCAGTTTTCCTGGTAGTGTTCAGAATTATATACTTCTTGCTTGTTCCAGTTAAAATTGGACTCAAATTACTCATCATTGTCAGCAGCAGTTGGTCATGCAAACATTTCAAATTAAATACTGTAATACAAATGTGATAATTCAGACTTTGCCTCACTTATTGCTTATTCAAATAATTTTCAAGCAGTCAGTATAATGCAAGGAATTCCCTGATGCAGAACTGATATTTCAGGATTATAATCTGAGTAAAAAAAATTGATTATTTGAAGGACAGTAAAGTACTTACCATCAGCAGTTAGTAGAATATTTCTTGCTTGTCCTAGTCACAAGTGGCTTTCCAGCAGTAAGTCCTGCAAAAAATTCTCAGTAATTTCATACAAGATTGCCATTAGTCTGAGTAAATTGTACAATAAATTTTGAACATCTGAGTGAAATGTAAAATTTATTCACATAATTGCAAAAGTCTCAGTTAATTGAAAAAATAAATTTTACAAGTCTGAGTGACCTGTTCAATAAATTGTTCAAGTCTGAGTAAACTGTATAAAATGAGCTGGAAAAGTCCAAGTAAATGGAAAAAATCAATTGTAAAAGTCTGAATAAATTTTACAACAAATGGTAAAAATCTGAGTAAATTATAAAATAAATTTCTAAAGCCTGAGTAAATTGGAAATTAAATTTTGAAAGTCTGCTTAAATTGTAAATTTCCTAAATACACCTCACAGACAAGATACACACACACACACACACACACACACACACACACACACACACACACACACAAGCACACCAAAGCCCCTCCCCTTTTTTGAAAGCATTAGCAGCAGTATGAGAGGACAGCACATATGAGGGAGGAAAGAAAAAGCGTTTTCTGGCCTGGAGGCAAGAAAAACATGCTCTTTTGTACGTGTGTGTGTGTGTGTGTATTGAGAAAAAGAACGCGTGACCCGAGATTTTTCTCTCCTCACTGCTTCTTTGCTGTCTGCTGTTTTTTTCTACTTTATTTTTATTTTTTTGTGTGTGTATGCATTTAGTTTAGGGAATATAAGGAAGATACCCCGAGGGTGCCGTGCAAACGTGACCTGCCTGCAGGTGGGCCCCAGCTCTTCCTTCCCTTTGCTTGCAGGTGCCACTCAAATCACCTGGTGTCAAAAGACCACTGGATGAAAAAAAAAAAAAAAACCATGTACAAAAAGATTTCAACTCAGAAAGTTGGTTAATTATAGTCACCAACACTTGTTTTTTTGTTTGTTAATGCCTCATAAATATTGGGTTATGCCTGCTTGAATGAAAAATATAAAGTAATTTCAGGAAGACCTTAATTCTGAAATTTTTTTACATTTTTCAAAATGTGCAACAATACTTTGCACTCACAAATGATTTTCAGGGATTTTTGAGACTCTGATTAAATCTAGATCAAATTAATTCAAATTTCTCATGATGGGAAAGTTTTGGTAAATTTATCCTGAAATATTTTCTTGTGTAACTAAAAAAAACACTGAAATGAAGCTCACCTTCAAAAATGGTCCATTTATGATGGATGCACCTGAATTGAAGCCACTCTTCAATTTATTTGAAGAACAATGAATACAAAGAATTAATAATAGAACAAAATAATATGAGACACACTGCCATCAAAAAATTCAGTATTTAAACTTTCATGAAGGAAATTGTGACATTGACCTGAAATGCAAGATGGATTCAATTTATTTTAAATCAAGTTTGCTGATTTTTTTATTATTTAAGAGTTGTCAAAAGTCAGGAGATTAGCTCATTTCAAGAACAATTTCTCTATAAAAGTCAAATGTTTATAAGAGTTTTAAACAGAAAACAACTTTTATTTCAGCCTGAAATATTATCAAAATTTACCTCCTTTCATTTAAAAAAATGTTTTTATTTCAAAAACAATTTCTCTATAAAAGTAAAATTTCTATATGAGTTGCAAACAGAACACAACCTTTATTTCAGCCTGATATACTATCAAATATTTACTCCCTTTATTTTTGAAAATGCTTTTATACTAAATTTCTTTGAAATTTATTTTAATTAGTTTCAGCCCAAAATATGACACTTAATTTTGCACCCAAGCAAGACACATGAGCTACTTAATTTTTAGGAAAAGAGGTGGATTTCTGATGCCTTGGATTTGTGGTGGGACCCACAAGGATGAGAATGAATAGACAGCATTGATTAAGGGAAGGGACCATAGTCAGAGAAGAGCCTCACGGCCAGGGAAAGAACCTTTTTTTTTATGGGGACTTGATCATCAATCATGAGCCTGCAATTTCTCAGCAGTCACAGGAAGAAACAAGTAAAATACAAATGAGAGGATGAGAGGCAAAAAAAAGGAAACCAACCAACTTGGCCACAGGGAATATCACTGGGTTTCTTCATTCACATCCAAGGCATATATCATCACACTCCAAAAAAAAATAACAGAGAAAACAACAGACAAATTAAGTTAAGAGTCATATTTTGGCAACAGGCTGGAGTCTGGCTCTGAGGTCAGACCTAAGAACAGACTCATTGGCTGACCAAGAGTTGCTGGTAACAGGGAAAACACTGGTCTTGGGGTTGATGAGACCCTTCCTCAGCTTGAGGGACTCTGTGGGGGCAATGTTGGTCTTCCTCAGCAGCTTCCTGAAGTCATAGGGTCCCATCAGCTCATCATCATCCTCATTTGCAATGGTTTTCAGGGGCACTGCTTGGGGTTGCCTTTGCTGTTGATGAGGGTTTTGGCTAAAAATCCCAGGGCCACTCATTCCTCTGCAAACACAATAACACCCACAGAAAATTGTTTATACAATTTTGATTTTTAAAAAAATGTCTTGTTTGATTGCTTTGGGTTCTTTTCACTTCAATTCCCAACAATCCCATAAAATCATTTTTTTACTGTGCATTAAAACAAATATGAAAAATTTTCTTCAATGGGAAAGAAGTCTTCAGAAGTGTTATGCAATGTCATGATTTTTTCTGGAATGCTGGGAAGGACACACAAAATTATTCAACTGCAGGAGAATATCTAAAGCTGAAATGGAGAAACCAATGCATTATATACAGTATCTTGAATGAAGTCAAAACTTAATTTCATGCAGATTCTGCATGATTCATCAGGCCAAAATCAGACCTTGAGACTTGATAATCTTTCTTGAATTTAAAAAAAAAGCTTAGCCTTCAGAAAATCTGTAATTTTTTTTTGTAAAACTAAGTTTTTGACCAAAACAAAGAAATATTCATGAGTTGGCAGTTGATTTCATTTTTGAATAATCAGTTGAACAATATATGCTATGGCACTCTATGTTCTTTTCCAGAATACAACTTTGCTGAAGTACAAAAGAAAGACTACATTTTCATTTCCTTCTCAGTTTGGTCATATTCAAGTAGAATTTTCTTTCATCAAAGAGGGGAGGTTATTTTGCAAGGATATTTTATAGCCATCAGAATAAAAATTTGCTGGTGTATCAAAGTTAGAAAACACTGAATAACTTTTTCTGATTTTAGTTAGTCATTGCACAAAAGCTGTCTTTTATTTTTGCAATGAAGTTGACCAACATGTTTTGAACCATTCAGAGAGTCAGTTCTTTTTATAAGTACAAATTGCCTGAGCTGAATAACAGACATTTTCAATTTCTTTTCCTAAATTTTCAGCATGAAAAGGAGGAACATTTTCTAAAATATGTTGCAGCTTTCAAAGAATTTTCTTTTTTATTTTAAATGCATGCATCTGAGCTAAACCAAAATTCTGAAATTCTCTGAGTTCTGATTTTGCCAAAATAGTTTGCAGCATTCAATGACATTTTCCTCTCTGAAACATACACTCTCTGAGGTGATTACAAAAGAACAAATCTGAGTTTGGTTTGAGTAAATTTGAACAATTTTTTGGCATGAAGTGAGAGTTATTCAAGTTTGGATTGAGTCAATTTGAAAAATTTTTTTTGGCATGAAGTGAGAGTTATTTAAGTTTGGTTTGAGTCAATTTGAACAAATTTTTTTTTGCATGAAGTGAGAGTTATTTAAGTTTGGTTTGAGTCAATTTGAAAAATTTTTTGGCATGAAGTGAGAGGCATCTAAGTCTGGTTTGAGTCAAATTGAACCATTTCTTTTTGGCATGAAATGAGAGGTTCTTTTTTTTTTTTTTGCAAAATATCCTGTTCTTTGTCACTGATGGATGAGGGTTGAAGAGAAAAGAACCATAAATTGTCCTTTTGGTCTCACCATCATGTGCAGACAGACAGACAGGACAGACCAACCAGCCACCAGCATGCACACACAGAGCAGAAGAATAAGATGAAGAAGATACACAAACACAAAACAAAACAAAAAAAAATAGGAAGAAGGCATATATAATAATTATAATCATCATCTTCTCCTTCAGGAGGCAACCATGCAGCGGGAAACTCGATGCAAATAGCGAACAGAGAGTTTAGAGGTCTTGAGAACCCTTTTCCCCACAAAGGTGGCCAAGCCGAACCTGGGGCCGAGTTTCCGGTCTTCACTGGCCCGCCTGTCCTTGGTGTCCTGCAGAACCCACTTTGCGGGTCTGATGGGTGTCATTAGGTTCTGCTGCTTTGAATCTTTTTCAGGTAACTGATGCTGCTGCTGCTGCTTTTTGGGAGGTGGGGTTTTGGGTTCTGGGGTTTTGGCTGCTGGCTCCATGCTCACTGCTGCTCTGGCAACCCTGTTTTTTTTATAAAAAATACAAATTAAAAAATGATTTGCAGTCTTCAAAATGCAAAAGATTTTTGTGATAGGATGGAACAGTGTTCCCCAATAAATCAAAAAATACAAATAAAAAAATGATTTGCTGTCTTCAAGACACAAAAGATTTTTGTGCTAGGATAGAACAGTGTTGCCCGATAAAACTGTGGTTTTGCTGGTCTGTGGGAAATTTTCTTCAGCATAAAAAATAATAAATCAAAAGTAGCAATACAGTTTGTTATCTTCATTTAAAATTTTGAAAGAGAAAATATGGCACTCAAAATGATCTGATGAAAAAATGAAAGTTGGCTTTTCTTCCAACAACACTTCAAAAAAATTTTCACTTGTTGAAATACATTATTTTAATTTTACATTCCAAGAAACCTTTCTTCAAACCCCTGTCCCTAATTTTTTGATGACATTCCACTACAGCAGCTTCAGTGGCTCTTATTTTAATTTTTGCACAAAAAGAATTTCTCTAAATACCTGTCATAAAATCTTGCAAGCAAAACCTTTTGCAAGTCTATAGAAATTTTATAAAACTTTGCCAAAATATGTCATGGAAATATGCTGGTCCCCAGGCCCAAAAGGGTTGGGAACAGTGAGATGGAAGATTTAAAAAGAAAGGTTTACTTCCTGGCGGGCTTGTCAGACTGGTTGGCAACCCTGACTGCTTTCTCACTGGCAGGGATCTTCAACTGGTCCCCAGGCCCAAAAGGGTTGGGAACAGTGAGATGGAAGATTTAAAAAGAAAGGTTTACTTCCTGGCAGGCTTGTCAGACTGGTTGGCAACCCTGACTGCTTTCTCACTGGCAGGGATCTTCACAGCTGGTCTCATCTGAGGCTGCAAAAAAAAATAAAAGGTTTATTTCAAATTTTCTTTTGACAAGTGAACTTGGGGAATTGTTTTCCAGAGACTCACTGGTGACCTGGCTTTTCTTTTCTGCTGACCAGACTCCTGCAGGACCTGAGGAAGGTAATCAAATCCCTTTGGCCTGTTGTAGGAAGATGGCAGGGGTTTCAGGGCAAAGTCACCTCCAACTTTTGGGGAGTTTGTGGTCTTCAGGGCTGCATTCACTGCATTCCCAGAATCCCTCACCTACAAACAAAAAAAATTAATCAACATTCATTCCTGTTGATCAATCCAATGTACACATGCACTTTTTTTTGTTGCAATTGGCTAACTTTCATCCCCAAAAAACTGCTGAATCATAGATTCAGCCAGTCCTGTTCCACTTTTTGATGGTTGTAAACCTTCTAAAAAATGCTACACAGGTATTTGACTATTTCCTGACCAAGGCTCATCCACTTGAAAATTGTCAGAAAACAGGTTTGAAAATATATTGAGTTTAATTGCCAAATTAATGCATCCTGTTTCATTAATTTCCAAGCATTCAGTCAATTATCAAATGCCCTACAAATGGCATAATGTCCAAGGTCTGAAAAGTAAAAAGTTGCCCAGAAGTCTGGACTGAAATTGCACATAATTCCCAGCAGCAAAATAATTGTCTTGCTTTTCCTCCCAAAAGTTCCAACTCAGACACTTGTACTCAAAATGCATACATTTCAAGACAGTTAAAATAATATTGTACCATTTTGTAAAATTTATTTTCTTTTGCACACCAGGATTTCTCTCCCAAGGACAAAAAATACCCCTGGCAACACTGATTAAACGGTAAAGAAGAAGACCAATGGAAGGTGAACAAGAATTTGCCCAGAAGTCTGGACTGCAATTGTATAAAAAATCTTCAGGAAAATAAACAAAAACTGTCTTTCTGTCTTGTTTTCCTTCTAAATTTCTCTCATCAAATATTGAGAGTCCATGGACTCAAAAAGGCCTTCATTTCAATGGATTTCCCTCCCAGGCAGAAATAATACCCCTGGCAACACTGAACAACTGGAACAAGAAAAAGACAAAAAAAAGGGAGAACAAGAATTTTCCAAAAGGTCTGGACTGACTGCAATAATATTGTTCAAAATCCTCAGCAAAAAAAAAATAAATAATTGCCTTCCTCAAGTTCTCATTTGGGCCTTCATTTAAATACTAAAACTGACAAAACTTCTGAATCATCCCTTGCATACCACAATTCCTCTCTCCCAAGGACAGAAAATACCCCTGGCAACACTGAAAAAACAGGAATAAGAAGAAAGACTCACATAAGAAGAGAAGTTGCTGTACTCAGACTCATAAAACTGAAATGATTGCAATGTGGTTCTGAAAGGAACACCATCAGCAACAGGAGGAGGAGGAGAAGGAGTAGGAGCAGCAGCCTCAGGGTGCTGCACAATGCCAAAGACCTTGCTGAGGAATTCTTGGTAATTTGGCTCAGCAGGCTTCATCAGCATTATTATATATTTTTTTCCAAAGTGTGCAGCATATGTCACCCAAGAAAAAAAACAAATACAAGTGCTATGTTAAGTTATGAAAGACATATAAGACAGAAGGGGGGAAAATAGATTTTCAAGGAAGGGAACCACAAAACTACAGTACAGTATAACACACAAAAGGAAATGTGTCTCAAGCAAGTCATTATACCTGCTGGGGCTTCTTCTGCTTCTTGATCTTCTTCTCAGGGCTTTTCTTGAGCTCCTTGGTTGACTTCCTGGTCCTGTAGCCTCTGAAAACTGATGAAAAAAAAGAACAAACCAGGATTAGAACATGACTCTTCTATTTTACAGGAAAAAAGATATTTATTTTGCACACCAGCTTGGATCTTGGTGGCAGCTTTCTGAAGGTTTCCTTTCTCCTGAGCTGCCTTCTTAGCAGCTAGAATCATTTGATGCTCTCTGAGTCTCCTAGAAAACACTCTTTTTGCCAACCAGCGCCTGACACATGCCTGTATCAATACCACTTTTGCCACCTGCGCCAAATATGAAAGAGAGGGAGGGAGAGAGAGAAAGAGAGAAATCAGCTCTATTATCAAACAACTGCAACAAAATTCAAAATATTTTTGCTGAATATTTTGGTCCATTCGAAGTCTTGAAGTACAAATTGGCTGAGCTTAATCAAATTTATAGAATGAAATTTGAAGAATAACATTTCAGGAATTAAATTAGATAATTACATCTAAAACTTACCTTTGAAGAACTGAATTTGAAAATTTTCAATTTGAAAATTTAAATTTGAAGAATTATATTTCAAGAATAATGAAATTTGAAGAATAACATTTCAGGAATTAAATTAGATAATTACATCTAAAACTTACCTTTGAAGAACTGAATTTGAAAATTTTCAATTTGAAAATTTAAATTTGAAGAATTATATTTCAAGAATCAAATTTGAAGAATTACATATAAAGAATTAAATTTGAAGAATTACGTTTAAAGAAATAAATTTGAAGAATTAAAGTTAAAGAATTAAACTTATTCGTAAATAAATCATAAGAATTCAATTTCAAAAATTAGACTTAGTACAGTAATATAATTTAAAGAATTAAATTTAAAGAATTACATTTGAAGAATTACATTTGAAGAATTAAACTAATGTGAAGCAATGTGAACTAATTAATGTGAAGCAATGTGAACTAATTAATGTGAAGCAATTAATGTGAACTTGATAATGAAATTTGTAAAATTCAAATTTTGTCAACAACAAGAAGAGGACTTGCCATGGAATCAAACATGGCTGCCAGATAATGTGAAGCAATGTGAACTAATTAATGTGAAGCAATTAATGTGAACTTGATAATGAAATTTGTAAAATTCAAATTTTGTCAACAACAAGAAGAGGACTTGCCATGGAATCAAACATGGCTGCCAGCTGCTCCATGTGATAGTACTTGAGGAACACTTTGGTCTCACCCATGGCAAAACCACGGAAATTGAGTCTGGTTAGCAACCTGGCACTGTTTTCTTTGTCTGCCAAAATCACTTCTGACCAGCCAAACCCGAGGAACCCGTACCTATATATATAAAAAGCAAACACTCACCCATGGCAAAACCACGGAAATTGAGTCTGGTTAGCAACCTGGCACTGTTTTCTTTGTCTGCCAAAATCACTTCTGACCAGCCAAACCCGAGGAACCCGTACCTATATATATAAAAAGCAAACAAAAAATATAATACGTTTAAAAAAAAGGAGCCACACAATTAAAATCCTCATGTTCTGCACAAAAAATATATAAAAATTTCCCTCAACTCCAATTTTTTTTCAACCAGAGTCTGTGCCTTGAAAACAGTTTTTGGACACCCAGTAATTAAATATTATATAAAATTAAGCAAATACTGTATAATCATTTCTCAGCTTAAAAAAGCTCCAATAAGTAAAATTTTTTTCTTCTTTGAATCCCCTTCAAATTTGACTCCAACAATTATTTTAAAAAATATAAACACTCCAAAAAATGGGGAAGTAGTCAAGAAATGTTCAAACATCAATATTTTAATATAAAATTTGTCTGTCTGAAAAATAAGCAACTTGAAATTGACACAAAATTTAAATCTTTCACAAAATGGTAAAGCAGTCAGGAAATGTTAGAATATCTATATTTTTTTCATGTACAAAATGCTGCACCTGGTTAAAAAAAGTAGCAATTCGAAATTGTCAAAAAATGGAAACTTCTATAAAATGGCAATGTAAGTAGTCAAGTAGTAATTAAACATTTTTTCACATACAAAATGTGCCTGTCTGAAAAATAAGCAACTTGAAATCATCACAAATTAGCAAACTTTTACAAAATGGAAAAGCTGTCAGGAAATGTTCAGAAACCAATAAACTTCCCCCTGCAAAATGTTCCTGCTCCCAAAAAAAAGCAACCTTAAAGATACTCTTTCTTGTCGCAATTAATACAAAGAAAACCTAAAAAACTTGGACAGGTTCCTCTCCAAGAAAAAAATTGGCAGAAAAATTTATCCCTGCTTCAAAAAATGATGAAGCAGTCAGGAAATGTGCAAACATCAATATTTTTTCAACTGTCAAATTGTTTTTGTCCAAAAAAAATCAATATGCTTCCCCTTGCAAAATGTTCCTGACCAAAAAGAGGCATTCTTAAAGATACACATTTTTGTTATTATTGTTGTTGCAATTGATAAAAATAAAACAAGCTAAAATCAGAAGAAGAAGAAGAATAAAAAAATTCAACAACAACACAGGACAGACAAAAAAAAGCAACCTCTTGAGAAAGACGTCATGAGGGATCCTGTGAGAGAAGCCCTGTTTCCGGATCTGGACAGTCTCCAGCACGCCGGTGTACTGCAACTGGGCCCGCACTTTGGCCCTGTCGAACACGGCCCTGCTGCGGGCGTCGTTGGGCTTGATGCAGCGCACGAAATGCGGCGCCCCCGCCACCATCTTTTGCAGGAGGTCCATGAGGGAGTAGCGGAAATAGGTGGCCATGGTTTGCTGGGCTCGGGTCTGGGATGCCAGGGCACTCATGCTGCTGCTGCTGCCAAACTTGGGCATCTGTGCAAAAAAAAACAAAACCATCAAATTCACATTTTGGCATGCTTATTGGTTTAAACTTTAAAACATCAGATAGGGTTGGAGAGATTTCTTTAAAGTTCCCCCACAAAATTCACAGAATGGTGAATTAATCAGAATATTTTCAGATGTCATTCATTTTTTCCTTGCAAAATTTGCTACTTGAAATTGGCACAGCATTTTGAAAAAATAACACATACTTTTCACAATGTACAGTACATAATTTTCATACAATAATAAGGCAGTCAGAAAGTGTTCAAATGCCAAACTGCAGTATTTTTTTTCCTTGCAAAAGGTGCCTGCCAAAAAAAATTGACACAAGATTTTCACCCTTTCCCAGAAAATAAATTGGCAAAAAATTGTATCACTATCTGAAAAACTTTACAGCACAATAGGCTGGAAAGTTTCAAATGCCACTACTTAATTTTCTTACAAAATGTTCCAGCAGAAATATTTTCAACTTTAAATTGGCACAATATTACAACACTCTTTAAAAAATTGTAAAATCAAATTTCATTTTGCAGTATATTTTCCCAAATAAAAGGTGCCTGTCCAAGAAAAAATTGGCAGAAAATGTTATCCCTGCTTCAAAAAATGATGAAGTAGTCAGGAAATGCGAAAACATCAATATTTTTTCCACTATCAAAATGTTTTCATCCAAAAAAATGACATGTTTAAATAGGCAAAAAATTTCATCACATCACAAAATGCTGAAGTATTCAGTAAATGCTCAAATATAACTCCATGTTTACTTTTCAAAATGTGCCTGTCCAAAAAAAATGAATGAGTAACTTCATAAAACTGGACTCCAAACAACAACAAAAAAACCAGTTGATGTCCTCTGGAAATTCACAACAAAAGCAATTATACAGCACACACACCTCCAACCCAATCATGTGAAAGTCCTCAGCATTCCCTGAAGAACCCCCAGGGGTGTATTTCCCCTGAACCTGGTTATGTTGCCCCAGGGCAAAGAGATTGCCAGTCCTGGCCAGGGGGCACTGGAACAAGTACCTAATGACCTCCAACTTGCTCTGCCTCAGCAAATGAATCACTTCAGGAGGCAAAAAGTTCCTGTTCTTCTCCAGAAAGTTCCTGCCATTGTACTGCACCTTCCCAGCATAATGATGGATGCTGAACTGCAAGTCCTCTGACTTGGACTTGATAAAGTATCTGCTGCGCACATTGTGATTGAATTTACCTATAATAGAAAAAAAAAATTCAGATGAACTCAGAACATTGTTCCACATCATGATGGCTCTAGAAATGTTGTTTGCCAAGACAAGAAAACTTCATCTTGACTTTACGGAAGCTCTTCAAAACAACAAAAGGTAGAATTTCCAGAGTTCTCTTTTTAACCAAGTTTATTTGCATGCAAAAGAAAATATTCCCAGATGTGAAATTAATTTCTGCAAGGCTCAAACAAAATTTCTACACTTGGCCCCCAGCACATACTTACCAACCAATGACCTGGGGGTGGCATTGGGGAACCTGCTTTCTTCATCCAACAGGGCCAGTAGTCCCAGAGGCTTGGACAGAAACATGTCCAACACTGGCCTGTTGTCTGTGAATTCCACCAAGTCCACATTGATACCCTCTGACAAGTACTCCTGCACAAAGGTGGAGAGAAACAAAACAAAAAATGCATCAGGACATTTCTTGCAGACTAAAAATACATTTTGTGAAAATGGTCTGGTCTGGTCCATCCAAATTGGCCAGCACTTTTTTTTTTTTTTTTTTGCACCCACCTGCTGCTCCCAAGAGAACACATGCTGGTTGAAGTAATACTGTATCTGCTCATTGGCAATGTTGATGCAGAGTTGCTCAAATGAATTGTTGGGGAAGTTCTCAAAGCCAAATATATCCAGGATCCCTATGGACAAGTGCTGCTGATCCCTGCAAAAATCAACCATAGACCAAAAACCTCAGTCAAACATATACAGTATACAAAATATCATGATAATGCCTACCTTTGTTGGTGTCCAATATTGGAACTGAGCACCAGCAACTGGTTCATCTGCAGTACCAACCAGTCCACTAGTCTACCATACAGTGCCTTGGCAGTGGCATGACAAGTGTCCCTGGCCTCATGACAAGACAGTCTTCTATGAATGGTCTCTCCTCTGGTGACCACATTACTGGTAGTGATGGCCTCCAGAGTGTCCATGGGACTCACACCCAGCAACTCACCAACTGTCAATGTCAAATGAGAAACACCAAATGGTCACTCTTCTGTACACAGGGGATACCTTGAAATTCAACCACCCCATAATTTTTCCATCCAAAAATTCAGCAGTCAAATTTTTTGGGAGGTCAACTTGCAATTTGACCCATGTGCAGAGAGATTCAAAATGTCAAACACAATGTAGAAAACATTGCATTTCCCCGAGTGCGGAAATTGGTGCACACTGGGGATTTGTTTGTAATTCTACACAATGACCCTGCTGTGCACCTGAAGTGTACCAAAGTTCTTCTGTTGCACATGCATATCCCCAATGTGCACCAATTGTGTGTTCACGCCAGGATTACTCAGGGTCACATTTGTAAGCAAATAAGTTACACCGAGGTTACAGTTGGTGCATTTGTGTGATGCTCCTGTTATTTCACGTTTGTGCACCAAGTGTAACCCTGGAATGGTAGCAAAATTTCCTCTACAGGAGTGCCCACTTGTACCCCCAGAATATCCCATATGCTCCAGTTGTGACCCTGGTGTGCACCTACTGTGGGGTCACAGCAAAAAATAGCTCCCCACTCGGGTTGATATTGTCCAGCAGTGGATCATGGTCAAATTGCATGGGTACCACTTGTGGGACCAATCCACAAAGGTTTTTGGACTCACTGATGCTGATGAGTGCAGGGTTGGTAATGCAGCATCCAGAGTCTGCAAAGTCCCTGGAAGGTGCTGTCTGGATACTCAGGTCACCAATGTGGAGTATAGCTGCCAAGAGTCTGTTCACACAGTCCACTTGTCCTGGGGAGAAGCCCAGTAGTCTGAAACTCTCCTGCACAGCCAACCACTTCCTCACACTTGCCTGCACACATACCAAAAACCAACTCAGCACTCATGATCAACCATCAAATTGGACAAACCAAACACACACACAAACCTCAACAGTGTGTCTGGCAGAAGAGTAACCCTGCAGGTAGTTGTGACTGGTCTTCCACAGAGGGTCCAAGTGGTAGTTGCCCAACTTGTTCTCTGCTTCCAGACCATCATAGAGGTAGTAGAAGATGTGGAAGTTCCTTTCATTGCTGTAACCAAAGACAAAAAAGAGGCAAATACTTGAACCATCACCAAACCATGAGTGACAAGACACTCTTTTGGTGTGTGACCTCTACCTGTCTTGGTGGACCACTCTGGACTGCTCCAAGAGGTACACTGACACCTTGGCACCCACCACATTCCCTGAGGGGGTGAAGGTCAGGTCCACATACTTCCCAAACCTGTCATAAAAGAGCCATTTACACATAATTCAAGTGGCACATGATTTTTGACAGTAGGACACAGACCTGGAGGAGTTGTCATTGATGCCTGTCCTGGCATTTCCAAAGGCCTCCATGATTGGGTTCACCTGCAGGATCTTTTCTTCCAGGTTCTTGTTCTGTCCCTGCAGTCATTCAACATACAATTTTAGCTAATTTTTTTTTAATTCAAACAGGGACTTAAAGAGACTCACCCTCCCAAGATGCACAAGTTGTTTCAGCAACAAATTGGCACTCTCAGTCTTCCCTGCACCACTTTCCCCACTGATGACCACACACTGAGAATGCTGTTCATGAATCAATGCAAAATAGGATGAATTGGCAATGGCAAATATGTGGGGAGGTTCTGAGGCCTTTTGTATCCTGCCTTGGTATCTTTGACTGACCTGTGTGGCAAAAAAAAATAACAACAGTATTAAAAAACATAATTTATATTTAATTTCCAATTAAAAAAAAAAAAACCAACTTGGTCATTGTAGATGTCCAGTTCCATGAATGGGTTCATGGCCAGAAGGATGTCACCAATGTAGGTGTAAATCTGTCCTTTCCTGAACCTGGTCTCCAGGGCATCTATTATCACATCCTATAAGTACAGTCACAAGCCATGAAACATTTTCCAAATATTATCCTGACTTCTTTTGGAAATATAAAATTGCAAATTGCAACAAAAACATAGTCACATACTTCTGTCAGGCACTCCAACATTGCCAAGTCCTCAACCACAACAGGGTCAGGTCCCATCCTCTTGACAGTCCTCAACTTGCCTTGTTTCATGGTCACCTCAGCCTCTCTCTTGACCACCTCACCATCACTACTCAGTTTGCCCAACTCCTTTTTCAACTCTCTTTTGGCCTAAAACACATCAGAGTATAACTTGTAGTTGTCACAAATATTATTATTATTATTATTGAAGCAAGAAGGACCTGGTGCTCAAGGCCATCAATGTCCTTCAAGAAAGGGTGCTCCAAAAGTTGCCTCATAAAGGGCCTCATCTCAAAGTCCTTCACCAGACAAGTGGCCACAAAGTCATTGAACTTGGCTGACCACTGTGAGGGGTCTTTGAGGCCAGGTGGAGGCTTCCTGGGAATCTGGACACAACCCAAAGGTATTATGAGAATATTGAGAAAGAGATACAAATGTAGGTATGGTTTATCCTGACCTGGAACAGGGCTCTCATGGGATGTATGTCTGACAATGGTGGGTCACCATCAGCCAGTTCCACAGCTGTTATCCCCAGGGACCACACATCACACCTCACATCATAAGAGTAGTCCAGTTGCTGCTCACAGGCTATCACCTGGCAAAACAAATCATGTGGCAATACATTACATAAAGTGGAGTGCATTCATCAACACATTCACCACTATGCCCATGAAACTGCAAATGGATCAATCAGTAATTGACAGAATATTCAGTCACTAAATAGTGTGGGAGCTTTTGGCAATAGTGTACCAATACTTCAAACATCATCCAAGAACTGAACAGGGAGAATTTGAAACTTTGCCACCATGGTATGAAGAAGAACAAAATTCATTCACACATCTTCAAGCAATATTTGACTCATTAGTTTAGAAAAAATAAGTTTAACCAGAAGGTTTTGAATCTTTGGCACTAGTGTAAAACAGGTCTGAAATCACCCATGGATTCTTAGAAAAGAGTGGTGAGACCTGTAATGCTTTTGGAAGTTGTCAATTTATGCTCACATTTAAAATTTCCCCACATTCCATGACCAAGTAAAAGAGAACTGTTTGAATTTAAAAAAAACAACTTTGGGGTTGGTTTTTTAGAGATCTGAAGTCCAAGAAAAATTAAAACACTCATGATATACTTTTGATGTGAAAGTTGAACATTTATACAGTACTTTCTTCAATGTCAACATGCCCTGTTGTGGGATGACACATGAGGTGAAAGTCAAGGAAGTCCAGGAACATATTCTAAAACAGTGTACCAAGGGTGTGGCTTCATCCAAAAATACATTATATATATGCAGCTCTGGCACTTTGATAGCTGTTAATTTATGCAGACATCTCAATTTGTGCTTTGAAAATTTTATAACTGAATCCCTAGGTGAAGGAAAAACTGTTTTTGAACTTTGCCACAAGTGCACCAATAGTCTAATACATCATCCAAACAGTCAAAAAAAGGTTCCAGACTATGTGGTACTTTGTCAATTCATTCCCACATCTTCAATTTAATTGAACACCATTTATGGTAGACTCATCAGGTGATAGGAAGTCATTGTTTTAATGATATGTGGACTATAGTTTAACCTCACTCATTGGTTTACCAAAGGTATGATGAAGAACCAAAAATGTCTGGGACCAACAGTTTTACAATTGAAATGCTCATGTCACATGTTTTGAAGGGAGTGTAAACAATAAATAAAAGTACTTCAGACCTCATCCAAGATTTTTTTCAATTCAACTTCATTTTTCAATTTGACTAGACACCATTAATGGTTGACTCATCAGGTGATAGGAAGTCATTCTTTTAATGATATGTGGACCATAGTTTAACCTCACTCATTGGTTTACCAAAGGTATGATGGAGAACCAAAAAAGTCTGGGACCAACATTTTTACAATTGAAATGTTCATGTCACATGTTTTGAAGGGAGTGTAAACAATAAATAAAAGTACTTCAGACCTCATCCAAGATTTTTCTTCAATTCAACTTTATTTTTCAATTGGACTAAACACCATTGTTGGTTGACTCATCAGGTGATAGGAAGTCATTCTTTTAATGATATGTGGACCATGGTTTAACCTCA